AGCAATCCCACTCCTGGGGATATACCAGAAGGAATGTGACACAGGTTACTGCAGAGGCATTTGAACACCCATGTTTATTGCAGCACTATTCACAATAGCCAAGTTATGGAAACAGCCAAGATGTCCCACTACTAATGAATGGATCAAGAAAATGTAGTATTTATACACAAAGGAATTTTACTCAGCCATGAAGATGAATGAAATCTTATCATTTGCAAGTAAGTGGATGGAGCTGAAGAACATCATTCTGAGCGAAGTTAGTCAGACTCAGAAGACCAAAAATCATATGTTCTCCCTCATATGCAGTCTTTAGATCTAAGGCAAATACAGCAATGTTGTAGGACTTGGGTTACATGAAAAGGAGAGAACACATACAGGAGGTAAGGGGTTAGATAGGAAACCCAAAACATGAAAGTATTTCATCTCTTCACTCCAGAGGAACTAATACAGAAACCTTAAAGTGATACAGGTCAACATGAGAAGGGGATCAGGAACCATTGTAAAGATCAGTTAGAGATGATCAACCTGGGTTGTAACACATTTGTGCATGGAAGCAGTGCTAGGAATCTCTCTGTATAGCTGTCCTTATCTCAACTAGCAAAAATGCTATGTCTTTCTTATTATTGCTTATTTCTACTCTTTGACAGAACTGGAGAAAAGTGTAGAACAGGTTCAGCTGAGGGGGGGTGGGGGTGGGGACAGGAGGGAGAAATGACCCAAACTATGTATGCATATGTGAATAAATGAATAATTAAAAAAAGGTTTTAGCTTGATGTAAGACTATTTGTTAATTTTTGCTTTACTTGTCTGTGCTTTGGGTCATATTTTGCTTATGCCAATGTTCTGAAGTGTTTCTCCTCTATTTTTTCCTCTTAGGTTCATAGTTTTGAGTGTTATATTTAAATCTTTAATCCATCTCATGTTGATATGCACAACTGGTAGTGACAGGAATCTAATTTAATTCTTCTGGATGTGTAAATCAAGTTCTCCCTGCAGCATTTATTGAAGATATTTTTTCTTCCACATCGTGTGTTCTTGGCTCCTTTCAAAAATCAGTGTGTTATAAATGCATAGGGTTACTTACCTATTCCATTTGTTTCAGTGTCCATTTTTATATAGACATCATACTGTTTTGATTTCTAGAGCTTTTGTAGTATATTTTGAAGTACATTTTGATGTTTCCAGCTTTGCCCTTTTTGCTCCAGATTACTTTGACTTTTTATTGATTTTTAAATTTTTTTTTACATTTGCTCACATGTTTATACTTTGTTTGGGCCACCTGCCTCCCTGCCTTCCCTCCCCTGCTTTCAGGAAGAACCTGTTCCACCCTCTTGTTCTCTGATTTTGTTGAAGAGAAAACATAAGAGATAATAAGAAAGACATGTCATTTTTACTAGCTTGGAATAAAGATATCTATACAGAGAGATTACTAACATTGCTTCCATGCACATGTGTATTACAATCCACAATGGTTCATCTCTACACAGATTTCTTCACTACTTCCTAATCCCCATCCCATAGTCGCCTCTGCCATTTTAAGATTACTATATTCACTCCCCTACAGTGAGCACCTCAACCACATTGAAGGTTTAGGTTTCCTTCCCTTTCCCTATTCCTCCTGTGTTCCCATGAAAACTTTTCTTGCAGGGTAGGTCTAGAGACAATGAATTCTTTACTTTTACTTTCTGAGCAACACTTCATTTCTTCTTCATTTTTGAAGGATAGTTTCTTTTATAGAAATCTAAGTTGGTGTTTTTTAAAAAATATTTTAAATATTGTATTTTACACTCCTCTTGTTAGAATGGCTCCTGGTGAGAAGAAAGTTTAATACTTATTCCTTTATACAATATATTGCAAGTAATAATAGTTTTGTAATGTTTTGTTTGGGGAAAATGACAAGGGGCATTTATCATACTTTCTGTTCTCTGAAATTCCAGGGGCTTTATTTCGGTCTGACATAAATTTTGTGAAATTTGCATCCATTTATATTTCAAGCATGTCTCTGCTTTCTTTCTTCTTCTCAGTTTTCCAACCTTGCATGTGTTACACTTTTTGAAGTCTTATCATAATTCATGGAGGCTCAATTTGTATTTTCATTATGTTTGCTATTTACATTTCACTTTGAGAAGTTTCTGCTAACTTATCCTCAAGCATGAGGTTCTTCCATTGGCTGTGTGCTGTCTGTTGATGAGACCTCCTAAGTCATTCTTCACTTCTGTTAACAATTTAGTTTTTAAAAAAAAACATTTCCTTTTGATTCTAGAGTTCTCATTTCTCTTGTTACTTTTTCTGTCTGTTCTTTCATGTTATCTATCTCTTTCATCATAGCTTTAACACAATTTAAACAATTTTTAAACAATTCTACAATCTATATCATATCTGATTGTGGTTTTGATGCTTGCTCGCTTGCTTCAGACTCCATTTTTTTCTTGTCTTTTGGCCTGCATTGTAGCTTTCTGTTGAAAGTTAGACATGATGTATCACATAGTAGGGACTGAAGTAAGTCAGCCTTTCAGAGGAGGTTTTATGATAGCTTGTCTAAGAGTTGGGTCCTGTTTAATGTTTTCTGTAGCTATGTATTTCAATAGTTTCATATTCCTTTGTGGCCCTATTTTGTGTTTCTACACTGACTCCAGGTGTCTTTAGGTATGGGACCTGAGAGCTAATCTGTGTCATGGCTCTCTTTCAGCTACAATTCATTGGACCTCTGTTGTGTTGTGTCAAGTTGTGGGGAAGGCAAGCATTCTACAAATTTGCAACCAAATCTCAGCTTTTAGTAGGTCAGTTTCTATTAAATAAGAATCTGTTTATGGTTTTGAAGGGAGGATATTTTAATTTCAGTTTTTGATGTTAATATAAATAAAAGTTACAGGTTTTGTATACACATTGAAATGGGCTGTCACAGTGTAGGGACTGATGTAAGAGGAGGAGAGTTAGCCCTTAGGTGCTAAAATTCTCACTTGTGGAAAAAACAGGACTATGTTTCTAAACCAAGTAAATATGGCTATTTAATACAATTACTTTTTCTGAGATTGTCCATAAAGTATGAAAAAATGTATTTCAATTTTAGGAAGAAGTGATTATACTTTGGCACTAAAAGCTTTAGAATCACTAGAGTCTCCATAATATATCCTACATAAAAATATCTTATTCTATTCCAAACACAACTCCAGTGCTTAGGTAAGGATCTATCCCCTTTTATGGCATTATCTGTACTCAATTTTCCTCAAACGTCCTAAGCAGTATAAAAACTTCTTTCCTGTGTTGAAGTACAGCTCATTAAAAGAACAATTTCCTAGTATGTGTAAAGCTCTGGGTTCAATTCACAGCAATGTAGAAACAACAATGAAAGCAACAACAAAATCTTGTTCCCTTGTTTCCCATAAGAATTAGTTAAAAAAAGCTTCACTTACCCTTAGGCCATGACACATTATACATGTGCATGCATCTTATCACCTAATTACATTGATAAAACATAGTAATCAGGGATGTTGTCTATACTTCTTTGATTCTTTAGTGTGCATCGATGTATCCTCCATGGCCTATAAAATTATTCAGTAAATACCTGGTATTGATAATAAAGTCGTTAGAGAAGATAACTGATAATGAAGTCATCAGAGTATAAATTTTCCCTCAAGGAATGAAACTGTTTATAATAGGGAGTTTCATGGGATTTAACTTAATGAGAGTTACAAATTCTCTCATACACAATCAACTCCATTCTGATTGGGTTAGATTTTGACCGATAATTTCATTCAAGGCAGGCAATATTCCTGCAAGTGTCTATACATTGGCCCAGTGACTGATCATAAGGATAAATCTTTCTCTCTGCTTTCTACTAGAGGCAAATTTCAGTTCTGCTGTTGCTCAGTTTATACCTCTATGAAGCAGCCAAAAGCTGATCAGAAATCACTGCCTTATCTGAAAAAAGTCCAATGTAAATGGTAAGTTTTTTGTTTATTATCTTCCCTTTCTGTCTTACCTATTTTTAACTTCTTTTGTCTCCTTTCTTTTCTTCCCTACTTAATTTTTCTCCTCTCTGATTTCTAGATCAAATTATCTCACATTTTACTTTATTATTCACTTGTCATTTTCAGAAATACCAATCCTGTTAATTCTATTTAAGACAGATTTTTATATAAGCAGAAAGATTTAGCATTGGAACAGGAGGTGGTAAAAGTAAAGAGTGGCAGAAGAAATGAAGAGATGGAAATTGGGGAAAAACACTGACTTATAGAGTTAAAAATCAGAAAGGAAAGAGAGAGTGTTGATTAGTTGAGTAAATATAGCAAAAGACCAAAAAAGTGAAGAGCTTTGTTCATGATTATGTTGAATTTCTTCCAGTATTTATCTTAACCCTAAAGCTAGATTGGTGTTTTCAATTATCATGAACATTTATATATCATCTTGCTTTTCTCTTGCACTTAGAGCAAGCTGCTTGATGAAATGATCATCAGTTAAAGCTGGTTGTGGCACACACTTATAATCCTAGCACTTGGGACACTGAGGCAAGAGCATTTCAGGTTCAAGACTAGACTAGGATACATAGTAAGTTCCTGGCAAGTTTGAGCCACATAGCGAAAGCCTGTCTCAAACAACAACAACAGTAATAATACTATTACTAGTAGTAAATGGTCATCAGTCAGACATTTCAGTCCTTACATATTGAGCAAAGTAGAAATCTACTTTTTAATGCAGAGTCAATATTTTTTATATCTTATCACCATAAACATAACTAAACCAGAATATAAAGATGACTTATATAGTAATGTTTTTATTTCTAAAGATTTACAAGCAATCTTTTTCTCAGTGGATACAAAGTAATAGATTTTGCTAATTTGTCTTACATAAATAATTTCAATAAATTACCACATTAGCATATATATACAATAGAAATTACAATATTTTGACATTTACTACCTTCATATTTTATCATTTGTACCTTTTGATAATTTTTTCTCAATATTTTTAACAGAACAGAAGCAGATCAAGAAGTAGTAATGAGAAACCACACGACAGTGACAGTGCTTATCCTCAGAGGGTTGACGGAAGACTCAAAATGGAAGATTGTTCTCTTAATCTCTCTGCTTCTCACCTACTTACTGAGCATCTCAGGCAACCTGATTATCATTATTCTCACTCTTCTGGATTCTATTCTCAAGACCCCTATGTATTTCTTTCTTAGAAATTTTTCCTTCTTAGAAATTTCTTATGCAACAGTTTGTATCCCCAAATTGCTTGTTACCATGGCAACTGGGGACAAAACCATTTCTTGTAACTGTTGTGTGACTCAGTTATTTTTTGCCTTCTTTCTGGGTGCTTCAGAATTTTATCTGCTGGCTGTCATGTCCTATGACCGTTATGTTGCCATCTGTAAGCCTCTGCATTATACAACCATCATGAACACCAAAACTTGTATGCAGCTGGCTCTAAGTTCTTGGATTGCAGGTTTCCTCATCATTTTTCCAGGACTTATCTTAGGTCTAAGACTAGATTTCTCTGACTCCAATATCATTGACCATTTCTACTGTGACACTGCTCCTCTGCTGCAAATCTCCTGCGCAGACAAATATTTGTTGGAGATGATGAGCTTCATCTTAGCTTTGGTGACTCTCCTTGTCACACTGGTATTAGTGATTCTATCCTACACATACATTACTCTAACAATTTTTAAATTCCCTTTTGCTAATCAAAGCAAAAAAGCTTTTTCCACATGCTCCTCTCACATGATTGTCATCTCACTCTCATATGGCAGCTGCATTTTTATGTACATTAAACCCTCAGCCAAAGAGAGGATATCATTAATGAAAGGAGTTTCAGTACTCAATACTTCTATTGCCCCACTGTTGAACCCCTTCATTTATACTCTAAGAAGCCAGCAGGTGAAGCAATCATGTAAGGATTTGCTAAAAGTTCTGCTGTCATTTAAGAAGTAGAATCATAATGAAGTGTATAAAGAAAATTCATTATTAAGGAAAATTGCAAAGAAAATGTCTGCATTTGGCCCCCATAATTACCCTTGTGCTTTCATTTCTTTCTGAAGTATCTTGCTATCTTCCTAAGCTGTCTTTCCTCAACAATGACTTCTATTTTAAGGTAATACAACATTTTTCTGTTCCATTATAAGCATTCTCACATATGACTTACTCTTCTCTTCCTCTTTCATTGAAACATAGTTAATATTTTAAATGTTTTCACCAATTTAAAGTGTCAGTTCATTGTGACTTTAATTATTTCCACATATATGTACATATTTAGTTCTTCATATTACATTTGATTTATCATAAAGTCTTCACAAGTTCAAAACAATTATGTGATGTAATGTCTTTGGCATTTTGATTTTCTTCTGGCTTTATTATGCCGATATGCCTTCTCAGAAATTTTTCTTTTCAAAGATATTTGAAACTGGGAAATCTGAGACTAAAGATAAATGTTATCCTTTATCTTGAGAATGTAAAAATACCTCAAATTATGCTACCATAATAAAAATTCATAGGCTTTATTATATTTATGGTATATTTTATTTGATATAGGAAGTAAATATTAAATTGTATGCTTGCTCCACTTGTAGGAAACTGTTCTATTACTACCACATATTAATTGTACAAAGTAATGGATCTCACTATAGACATTTCCAAAATGCAAACATTATGCTTTCACCATATTCACCCCCTGTTACCCTTTCTAATCCTCCTCCCCATTCTCCATTTTCCTGTTACATCCCTAGTAACCCCTATTTTATTATCATGTCTTTTTCTTTTTCCTTTAAATTTCACAGGTGTGAGAAAATGTGATACTTGTTTTTTGTGAATCTGGTTTATTTTGCTTAAAATTACCGCTTTTCCCTTCTATTTTTATGGTAAATAACCTAATTTTGTTCCTCTTTATGATTGGATAAAAGTCCATTCTGTTTAGGTATCACAGGTAACTTTCATTATAAATAAAATGCAACCTGAAGAGATCACTCTTGATGTTGTTTGGCTGTTTCTTATTCATATTGGAAATAATTGTGTTCCTAATATTACACACTTGTAATATAACAATGAATTTTATTATTTTGATGTTTAAGGCTAATTTGAAAGTATGAAATTACTACTAGATGAAGATATTAATGTTAAGTATGAATTCATTTATATTATTAACTATATTTAACATATCTATTAGGAAAAATAATATCAGTTATGTCACAAAAGCTCCTTTCTTTAGAAGAGTATGAGCTACTTGTAAAGAAAAAATATATTTGAAACCGAAAGCCAATAAGTATGTTTAATTGTACTAAGTACTCATAACAGTGATCAGTAAAGTTTAGTAAAAGTCTTATCTCTATTTTTAAATATCATTTTATAAGAAAATGAAAGAAATGTTAAATGATATCATTATGAGGCAAACCATCCAATTCAGTATATCATATAGGCAATAACAAAACCCAACTTATTGAAAAATCAAAAGGATAGAAAAAAGAGTAGGAAAAATTGTTATAGATTATACAAAATTAAGAGAAATTTATCAAGTGCAGTGTATAGACTTCACATTGATATTAATTTAACCAAAGAAATTGCAAAATGGTATTTCTTAACTGTTTAAATCATTTTTAAAAATGTATCAATAGGAGGAGAGGGGAAAGGGAAGTATTTGGGATGAAGAGGTTAAAGTCTGTTACATATCTTTTTTACAGTTTATTTTTACCATTTTTGCATTTACTTACATGTGTATACATTATTTGGGCCACCCTCCATCTCTCTCCCCAGTTGTGGGCAGAACCTGTTCTACCATCTTGTTCTCTGATTTTGTTGAAGAAAAAAAAAGATAATAAAAAAAGCCATGGCATTTTTGATAGTTTGAGATAAAGAAGCTATATAGGGAGATTCCTTGTGTTGCTTCCATGCACATGTATATTACAACCCCCATTGGTTCATCTCTACCCAGACCTCTTCACTACTTTCTGGTCACATATCCATAGCAGCCTCTGCCAGTTTAAGATTAGTATATTTGCTCCTCTACAGTGAGCACATCAACCACTTTCAAGTTTTGGTTTCCTTCCCTTTCCCTATGCCTCCTGTGCATGGTCTCCACTTAGTGTGTGACCCATCTCCAACAAGATTACTGATATTTGTTTTAGGTCTATAATTTGCATATGAGGAAAAACGTGATTTTTGGCCTTCTGAACCTGACTAGCTTTGCTTAAGATGATGTTCTCCAGTTCCATCCATTTACCTATAAATGACAAAATTTCATTCTTCTTTGTGGCTGAATAAAATTCCATTGTGTACAAGTATCACATTTTCTTAATCCACTCATTGATAGTGGGGCATCTTGGCTGTTTCCATAGCCTGGCTATTGTGAATAGTGCTATAATAAACACTGGCATGCTGGAAACCTTGTAGTAACCTGAGTCACATTCCTTCGAGTATATTCCTAGGAGTGGAATTGCTGGATCATATGGCAGATCTATTTCTAGTTATTTTTTAATTTTTATTTTATTCATATGTGCATACAATGTTTGGGTCATTTCTCCCCCCTTCCCCCTCCCCCTTCCTTATTCCCCCACGTCCCTCCCTTACCACTCTTACCCCTCGCTACCAGGTAGAAACTATTCTGCCCTTATCTCTAATTTTGTTGAAGAGAGAGTATAAGCAATAATAGGAAGGACCAAGGGTTTTTGCTAGGTGAGATAAGGATAGCTATACAGGGAGTTGACTCATATTGCTTTCCTGTACATGTGTGTTACCTTCTAAAGTTAATTCTTCTTGAACTAACCTTTTCTCTAGTTCCTGGTCCCCTTCTCCTATTGGCCTCAGTTCCTGTAAAATATCTGCTTTAGTTTCTCTGTGTTTACCACAACAAATGCTATCCAGTTTTTTGGGTATCTTACCTATCCTCATACCTTCATTGTCCTCTTGTTTTATCATGTGATCAAAGTCCAATCCCCTTATTGTGTTTGCCCTTGATCTAATGTCCACATATGAGGGAGAACATACGAGTTTTGGTCTTTTGGGCCAGGATAACCTGACTCAGAATGATGGTCACTTGTTCTATCCATTTACCTGCGAATGATAACATTTCATTCTTCTTCATGGCTGCATAAAACTCCATTGTGTATAAATACCACATATTCTTTATCCATTCGTCAGTAGTGGGGCATTTTGGCTGTTTCCATAACTTGGCTATTGTGAATAGGGCTGCAATAAACAAGGGTGTGCAGGTGCCTCTGGAGTAACCTGTGTCACATTCCTTTGAGTATATCCACAAGAATGGGATTGATGGATAATGTGATAGATCAATGTTTAGATTTTTAAGTAGCCTCCAAATTTTTTTCCAGAGTGGATGTACTAGTTTACATTCCCACTAGCAGGGTAAGAGGGTTCTTTTTTTTCCCACATCCTCACCAACACCTGTTGTTAGTGGTGTTGCTAACAATGGCTATTCTAATGGGGGTGAGGTGGAATCTTAGTGTGGTTTTAGTTTGCATTTCCTTTATTGCTAGAGATGGTGAGCATTTTTTCATGTGGTTTTTGGTCATTTGAATGTCTTTTCAGAATGTTCTGTTTAGTTCACTTGCCCATTTCTTTATTGGTTCATTAATTTTGGGAGAATTTAGTTTTCTGTGTTCCCTATATATTCTGGTTATCAGTCCTTTGTCTGATGTGTAGCTGGTAAATATTTTCTCCCACTCTGTGGGTGGTATCTTCAGTTTAGAGAACATTTCTTTTGTTGAGCAGAAGTTTTTTGGTTTTATGAAGTCCCATTTACCTATGCTATCTCTTAGTTGCTGAGCTGCTGGGGTTCCATTGAGAAAGTTCTTGCCTATAGCTATTAATTCCAGAGTATTTCCTACTCTTTCCTGTACCATCTTTAGAATTTGGGGTCTGATATTAAGATCTTTGATCCATTTTGAGTTTATATTGGTATAGGGTGACAAACATGGATCTAGTTTCAGTTTTTTGCAGACTGCTAACCAGCTTTCCCAGTAGTTTTTGTTGAAGAGGCTGTCTTTTATCCATTGTATATTTTTAGCGCCTTTGTCAAAGACAAATTGGTTATAGTTGTGCAGCTTCATATCTGGGTCCTCTATTCTGTTCCACTGGTCTTCATGTCTGTTTTTATGCCAATACCATGCTGTTTTTATTGTTATTGCTTTGTAATATAGTTTGACATCTGGTATTGTGATACCTCCAGCATTGTTCTTTTTACTGAGAATTGCCTTGGCTATTCGTTGCCTCTTGTGTTTCCATATAAATTTAATGGTAGATTTTTCAATCTCTTTAATGAATGTCATTGGGATTTTGATGGGAATTGCATTACACATGTAGATTACTTTTGGGAGTACAGACATCTTTACTATGTTGATTCTACCAATCCATGATCATGGGAGATCTCTCCACTTTCTATAGTCTTCTTCAATCTCTTTCTTCAGAAGTTTATAGTTTTCCTTGTAGAGGTCGTTCACATCCTTTGTTAAGTTTACATCTAGGTATTTGATTTTTTTTGAGGCTATTGTAAATAGAATTGTTTTCATATATTCTTTCTCACTTTGTTCATTATTAGTGTATAGAAATGTTAATGATTTTTCTATGTTGATTTTATATCCTGCTACCTTGCTATAGCTATTGATGGTGTCTAGGAGATTTTGAGTAGAGTTTTTTGGGCCTTTAAGGTATAGGATCATGTCATTTGCAAATAGGGATATTTTGACAGTTTCTTTACCAATTTATATTCCTTTTATTCCTTCTTCTTGCCTAATTGCTCTGGCTAGGAATTCCAGTACTATGTTGAATAGGAGTGGAGATAGTGGGCATGTTTGTCTAGTTCCTGATTTTAGAGGGAATGGTTTCAGTTTTTCACCATTAAGTATACTACTGGCTATAGGTTTGTCATATATATCTTTTATAATGTTGAGGTACTTTCCTTCTATTCCTAGTTTTCTTAGAGGTTTTAT